GTTGTAGCATGCTTTTAACAGAGTAGAATCAGAATATCCAGTATCTTACATTCTGTGTATCAGCAGTTCAACCCAAAACAAAGGAACAGTTGTAAAGAATACAAAAATTCAGGGCTTATCAGTTATGACCTCAAAAACATACTATATGTAACTCCTAAACAACCCTTTTCTTGACTATTCTAAGACGAACAAATCTAACCTCGAGTCCTTGATTTCCCAGTTTCACTCTAGGAATCTGAATTCTCTGCTGCTCCTCAGCCATCTTCTGTTCCTTCTTGATGTTCTTGTGTTGCTGAACCGAGGCTTCTCTTTTTAACGTACAGCTCCAAGAACACCAGTAACTAATAAAAGATTTAGCAGACTGCCAAGTGTACTGGCAGAGTAAAAGTATTAGCAGGCTTGTATCCAGAATCTTGGTTTTGAGTTGAATTGTCTATCACTTGGTGACGCCACTAAACATGTCATCAATTCTGAATATGTCACCCCACATGTCATTCCTTTTGACTACTTTGTCGACCTTTTGACTACTTTGTCGAAACGTTGTACTTTGTGTTCCAAGAACTGTTACTATCAAAAGGCAAAGACTTAGTCAAAAGTGCAGAATAGTCATGGTATGAGATAGGAAATGTACCAAATAAATGTTATCAGATAGAAAAATAACCCTACATTGCCAAGAAATATGCTGCTCTGTTTCCTACTTTTTCATTCAGACCATGTAGGTCAAAAATTTTGTTAACAGAATTCACCAATGAAATATGCGTGTATTGGTATAACTGCAAGAATATCATTGGAAAAAATATAGCAAGCTATTTGTTTAGGATGGTATTGTACACTGTTATAAATATCGTATGATTGATATTAGATCAGATTATACTACATCATATGAAATATACCAATGGTGCCTTTTAAAATTTTTCTTTTTATTTATTTATTTATTTTTTTGCCAAAATTTTCTGCCAGTGGATGCAATGGTTTGTGTTATATGGTTGCAGCAAGTTATAAAGAAAGGAAAAAGAATATCAAGAAGAATTAATCATAGCATTAACCAAAGCATATATATTAAAATAGCATCTTAAACAGTGCTCTTAATCACTACTATAACCATTGGAAGATTGCTGGCAACTAAGCAAAGATAGAAAAACCAAGCAAGTACATGAATTCAACAGCAATGCCGACTCCTGCTTCCATTTCAATAAACCCCTTTTTAATGTAAGCTTAGTACCTGAATACAAACTTCTAGTCTTTCCATAGCCTTCGTTGTGGGAGAGTCCATTAACCAATAGCATGTTGTTGTAATTTGTATTTAAGGTATAAGGTTGCAGCAATAGATCAGTAGTTATTGCTGCAACATAGAAGAAAGACCAGAGAGAGAGAGAGAGAAAACGAGAGATAGATAAAATTGCAATGTGAAAGGCTATACGTGCCTTGTCTTTCATTCATTGATTATTATAAATGAAAATAAATTGCTTCTTAGTCAAGCTTGTACACTGAAATACACAAAGGACCAACTAGTCTCATGCCTAACCATGCCTTACTGACAGATACACTCATATAAGTAATCTTTCAATTGCAGAGAGAAAAAAAAAATGTAATCTGTCAACACAGATATCAAAAGTGTCAATGCCCTCAATGTCTTTGTCTTTGCTTGGTCTTCAAAGCAAGCCTTACATCGACACATATTTTGCTGCATACTTTGCATCCATAATTACTTCAACTTAAAAATCTTGTTCTCCTTTGGGGGTGTATTGGCGAATTTCCATGTGACCTGAAAAAAACTATCCAGTGTTCTAAGCCCTGCTACCTCATTTATGGGGATCACATCACAAATCTCTTTTAAATCTTCTTCAGTGAGCTTCACCCTCAGTGAATCAATGTTGCTATCAAGATTTTTGATCTTGGTTGTTCCTACAAAAAGTTAAAAAGAGTTTTTTTAGTTGAAATATCTGCAGGCTATCAAGAAGATAAAAGTGGATGTTGACAATTACAAAATGTGGACTTACCAGGAATAGGTACTACATCATCTCCTTGATGAAGAACCCAGGCAAGTGCAAGTTGTGCAGGGGTACATCCATGCTTCTCAGCCAACTTCTTTACTTTCAGATATAAGATCTTGTTTCTTTCCAAGTTTTCTCTTTGAAACCTTGGGTAAATTCCCTGTAGAAGTTGGCAATCGGTCAACCAAGCTAACAGTTAGAAGGCTTGTCATTAGACAATATTAAGGATAGGTTAAAGCCAAAAATAGATGAGTTCCCGTACCAGAAGACTATTTGCAGGCACACTTTCCGCAACTGCTCTGCCACCAAAGAAACCACGTCCGAGAGGGCTGTATGGAACAATCCCAATTCCCAGTTGCCTGCATAGGTGAACGCATTTAAATAGACATTTCTCATGCTTTGGCTTGCAGCAGTACAAGGAGTAATTGCTGATAGCCTCAGTTTATTGAGTCTCAAGTCCAGTACTCAAACAACATGTAACTTAGGAAATGAAAATGACTATCTAGTTTAGAGTTTGAAGTTCGAATTTCAAGTAACCTTTACTTTTTCTAACTTCTAATGATTCAAGATACAAGAAGAAACCTGCAGAGGGGGACTATTTCTTCCTCAATGTCACGAGTCCAGAGGGACCATTCCATTTGTACAGCAGTTATGGGATGAACCGCATGTGCTCTCTTTATAGTTTCAGGGCTCG